TGGGCCTTAGGGGTTCAGTAACAGGGCGGATGGTAAGGCCTGGGGGTCTGTAGGGAGCTGCAGCAGGGCAAGACAAGGTTTTTCCAAGCATGATTCTTGTATTTATCATCAAGGAACCCCAAGAGGAAAGGATCATGGGGTCTCAGATCTAGACTTGGAAGAGACCCTAGAGCTCATCTAATCCAACCTTCTTATTTTACAGATAAGGAAACTGAGGCCCAGAGAAGTAGAATGACCTGCTCAAGGTCAAACAGAGAGTAGGTGGCAGAGCGGCAAACCTCCCTACAGAGAGGTAGATGAAGGCACAGAGACATTTAAGAGACTTACTTGGACCCACCTAGTTAATTGGTCACCAGAATCTAAGTCTTCTCAGTGAAAGGCTTTTTTTTTTTTTAGGCAATTGTGTTTAAATGACTTCTCCAGGGTCACACAGCTAGTAAGTATGTGGTCTGAGGCCGAATTTGAACTCAGATCCTCCTGACTTTAGGGCCAGTGCTCTATCCACTGCACTACCTAGCTGCCCCCAAGGCTTTTTCAACTAATAGGAAGAGTGGCATAATGGAAAGAGGCCTAGACTTGGAGGCGGAGTTTTGGGTTTAATACTTACCATTAGTGTCACCATGGGAAGGTCCCTCCACCTCTCTGCGCCTCAGTGTTCTTCTCTGTAAAATGGATGGGGATAGTGGTAAGAATTGTTTCTTGCTGCACTATTTATTGAGGATGGTCCTTTGAAAAATCTTTGTGCATTTTTTTGGATCTGCATTTTCTTTCTCAACATTGCTAACATGGAATTGTGTTTTGCATGAGTGTGTGTGATCTGTATCAAGTTGCTTGCCTTTTCAAGGAAGGAGGAGGAAAGGGAGGGAAGGAAGGAGGAAAAAAATTTGGAATTCAAAATTTAAAAAAAACAAACTTTAAAAATTTTTGTTTACATGTAATTGAGAAAAAAATTTAAAAAAGAAAAAAGGAAAAAGGGAAAAAGAGAAAAATCTTAGTGCACAATTGAAATGTGAGTTATTACTCTTAAGAATAAATTTGGCAGTAGAGTGAAGGGGAAAAGAGACTCCAAAAAGTTATACAACTGCAAGGTAGCTGCAAGGCAGATTCAAGGTCTCCCTCCGTTGTATCTCTGATACTCCCCGCTCTGTCTCTCATTGAATGCAGAGCTTGTCTCCAGGATTGCTGGTCCCCACCCCGGATTCAGTTAGCATGTTCCCTATCCTGAGACAGCTTTTGGCTTCTTGGTGTCAAAGCTGTTTGACACCCCAGTTCTGAAGGCGTGGAAGGGCAGCCCCCAAAGTGCTAGATAACAGCTGCTGTTAAAGGAAAGAGCTTTGTGCAGAGATGCCGGCAGGTCTGTGTTGAGAGTAAACATAGATCCTTTCACATGACTTGAGACCAAGGTACAGGTTGAGGTCCAAGGACGTGAAAAGTTAGCACTTCAGTGCCATAGAATAATAATATTAGTTGACCCAAAGATAGACTGGAGGGGGGATAGACAGACAAAGATAGAAAGATAAAGAAAAGGAAGGAAGGAAGGAAGGAAAGAAGGAAGGAAGGAAGGAAGGAAGGAAGGAAGGAAGGAAGGAAGGAAGGAAGGAAGGAAGGGAAGGAAGGAAGGAAGGAAGGAAGGAAGGAAGGAAGGAAGGAAGGAAGGAAGGAAGGAAGGAAGGAAGGAAGGAAGGAAGGAAGGAAAGGGGGCAGCTAGGATGGTGCAGTGGATAGAGCATTGGCCCTGAAGTCAGGAGGACCTGAGTTCCAATCCAGCCTCAGACACATAACGCTCACTTAGCTGGGTGACCCTGGCAAGTCACTTAACCTCAATTGCCTAACCAAAAAAAAAAAAAGGAGGGAAGAAAAGGAAGGAAGAAAGGAAGGAAGGGAGAGAGAGAGAGAGAGGAAGGGAGGGAGAAAAATGGGGCTAATAGAGGAAGACAGGACATGATCTGGAGTCCGCTCTGAGTTGCCAGGGGAAGCCATGGGGATGATTGGCACATGGGAGAGACTGAAAGGGTGAGTGGAAGTTGACAGAGACATCAGGCCTACTTCACCATCTTGCCTAGGGCTGGCCTTGCAGCTGAGGGCTCTTCAGACCAGGTGTTCCAATCTGGTTTAGACATGTGAAAAAGACCCATCAGATCCAAAGGTTCTCTAGTCTCATTGAACCCAATCTTGTCCTCAGACCTTCCCTCAAGCAGTAATTCTAAAATCATAGTTTAGGGTTTGTAGGGGCCTCCCAGTAGTCCAAGATCTTGTACTGGGAGAACAATGTTTCTGATTTTTTTTTTTTGAGGGGCAGTAGATAGCTTGTAGTCTATGGCCAGTGATGGTGTAAGCGCAAAGTGAGGCAAAAGAGATGTTGCCTAGGAAATGCACAATCAGAAAGGGAGATATAACCTTGGACAAGTCTCTGCCCCTCTCTGTGGAACAAATGGAGTTAGACTAGTAACTTCTGAGGTTGCTTCCAGTGAATAATATTAATTTAATAATAACTGTCATCTACATAGTGTTTTGAGCTTTATAGAGTGTTTTACAAATACATCTCTTTTTATCCTAACAACAACTTTGGAGATATTATTATCTCCATTTTACAGATGAGGAAACTGAGGCAAATCGCTATTAAATGACTTACCTATAGTCATACAGCTAGGAAGTGTGCGAGGCAGGATTTGAACTCAGGTTATCCTGATTTGAGGTCTGAGGTCCAGTGTTCTACCACTTGTACCACATAGCTGCCTAAATTGATCATTCTATGCCCTATTTGATTCTCACGATTACCCCACAAGGCAGGTAGGGCAGGCATCCTTGCTCTAAATTCCTGATGGGGTCATGGTGAGAAACACACTTCGTAAACCATAATTATTTTGTTCTTTTGGTGGGTCCATGATCTCTTTAGAGTTGGCTCTCTTTCCTCCATTAGTGTAGACTGAAACCCATCCACTCTTCATCCCATGTGCTTCTGAGCCGTGACTTCCAGAAAGCATCCACCTAACCCACTGGAGGCGTTCCTCTAGCTCTTTCATCTATTTATTTATTTGTTTGTTTTAATTACTTATTTGTTTGTTCATCCATCCATTCATCCATTTATTTTTTCATTCATTCATTTGTTTGTTTATGTCTTTTATCATTTTATGAATTGCCATGCAGTTCTCAGACTTTCCATCAGCGGTTTCTTGCTCTTGCTAACTGGCCTATGTCCCTTTCTGACTGGATTTCTAGGGTGAAATCCTTTACAGCTCACCTTGCATTCAAACCAGCACTGGCAGAATGCTGTAGGCTACCCATTCCTGTCCTCCCTCCTCTCCCAAGGGAGCATCACCCCATTGCCCTGTGGGTCCCCTGCCATATTGGTTCTTCAGAAATGATGATATCCTAGAATTTATAGTTGAGCTGTGTTGCCAAATAAATATGAGCTCTGAGGATACTGAGCCTCAAGTGAGGGACAGAGCTGGAGCTCCTAAGAGGTCTTGCCACTTCCTGTTTCTGCCCCCATTTGCACTCCACCTGTCCTTCATGGGCCTGACTCGCCTTCCTAAAACTTTGCTGGGATCACGTCACCCCTTCTCTACAAAAGCTTTCTGGGTAGCCTCATTTGCTCTGAAATAGAACATCAGCTCCTGCCTCTAGCGTTCAAGGACCTTCACAATTTGGTCTCAGGCTACCCTTATAGGGCTGAACTCATGTTTTTCCCCTTCCCATGCCCTACCCACTAGTCAAGTGGGACTAGTCTCCTTTTCCCATCCTTGAGTTACAATCATCTGTCTCTGTTCACCCTATCCCCCATATTTAGGGGGATGTTAGCTCTACCTATCCCAGTCCCAATCAACTGCCAAGTAGTTCTGCTTTTCTTTTGAGTCTAGCTCGCATACTGGCTATTGATAGAGAGATATAGATGTATCTTCATATGCCTACATATATACAGATACACACATATATGTATATACACATACATATATGTTGATATACTTACACCTACATATACATCTACACATATACACATATATCTTCATATACCTCTATCTATATCTGTACATGTACACACAAATATATAAATACTCATATATCTTCATATACCTATATCTATGTATATATCTGCACACACATGTATATATACATATCTTCACGTACCCATGTCTACGTATATATCTGTACACGCATATATATCTTCACATACCTTTATCTATATTATATATCTGTACATATATACAAACACATATATACACATATATATCTTCATGCTTCCAACATAGAGTATAATGCTTTGCACACAATGGTTTGTTGAATGACTTGGTGACTCAAATTTGGGTCCTCCCAACACCAAATCTAGTCCTCATTCAATTATATTGTGAAGCAGGTGCTATCTATAGCACTGCAAGGTCCCAGTTCCAACCCAAACCACCACTTCTCTGTGGATTTCACCTGAGACCTAAGAATGCCCTCTGCTCCCCGGTAATATCCCTAAACAATATGCCCAAACAAGGGCAATAAAGCCATCTCATTTTACCCTGGGAGGTTATGTGGTGCAATGTAAAGAGTCTTGGATTTGAAATCAAAGAACCTGGGTTTGAATCCTGCCTCTGCTAGGTACTAAGCTGTGTGATCTTTGGCCAATCACTTTCCTTTTCTGGACCTCAGTTTCCCTACCTCCGTTTTCTTATCTTCTTTGAGAATATTTAGCTTCCTTCAAGACTCAGCCCCAGTGCCCCTACCAGGCCTCACCCCCAACTGCTAGTGTGCCCTCCCTCAAAATTACCTCATATTTATTTTGTAGATATTTTGAATTTACTTATGTTTGTACATATTGTCCCCCCTCCCTTCCATTAGAGTGTAAACTCCTCGAGGGTAGGAATGGTACATTTTGTCTTTGTATCCCCAGCACTTAGAACTGGTAGGAAGGGTTTAATAAATGTTTGCTGAATGAATGTAGGGGTTGGACTCCAAATGTCAAAGGTCCCTCCCAATTCTAGAGTCTATGGTTCTATGTCTTCTCTCTTTCACAGACGTGCCAGGTGATATGCTGGTCCAGGTGCTTGGTGCCCCCATCACTCTGAACTGCCTGGATGGGGAATTGGAGCCTAATGGCACCATTCACTGGAAACTGGATGATAAGCCTGTAGGCCCACAGCTTGGCCAAAGGGAAATGGTGGGAGGAAAGCTATTACTGAAGTCAGTGCAGCATAGCGACTCGGGAAACTACACCTGCTACCTGGATGGCCGCCCAGTGAAGACCTTGCCTCTCCTAGTGGTTGGTGAGTAACACGCCTGGAACATTGCTATGCTGGCATTCTTTTGGAAGATCCTTCCAATGCATCCTCCATTGCCTCATAGGCCTCCACTCAGATTCAACCTTCTTCCTGATGTTGGGCTAACCTTCCTTAGAGATCTGGTCACGGCACACTCCTTTGCTCAAAAATCTTTGATAGTACCTTACTGATTACTGGGTCAAATCCAGATTCTTTTCCTTGGCATTCAAGATCCTCCATAATCTAGTGCCACCCCCATCCCCCCCCCAGCTTTCCTGATTTATTTTATGTTACATGATTCTACAATTTCTAATTCCTAGCCAAACTGCACAATTAGTTCCCTCTATACCTCAGTGTAAACTGATCTCCATACCTTTGATTACACTGTTCCTTATACCTATGATATATCCTCTTTGCTTCCTTTTGCTTGTTGAATTTTTACCTAGTCTTTAAAGACCAACTGAAATGCAGTTTCCTTCAGAAAACCTTCTCCCTCCATCATTGACACCTTCCTTCTTAGACCTTACACAGAATTTCTAATACACTTGTATAAAATTGTATTTCAGACTTATCTGTGCTTGTGCTATTATATTCTCTTTCTAGACTTCCCTCTATGAGGGAAGGGACCTTTATTTATTTAAACTTGCCATCTTCTTCGGTGCCTAGCGCTGCGTAAAATATATGTGTGTTAAATGGATACTCTCAGATACGTGCCATGCCTGAAAAAAAATCCCTTTAATATCCTGTTATTTACTTGGTCCAAGAAATTACAGGAAAAGCTTATTATATTTGCCGGCAAGTGACAGGATACCGGAGAATATTCTGGCTCCTGCCTGGGCTGGGTATCTAGCAGCTCAGGACCCAGAGAATTCAGAACTCTTCTCATAGTGAGTTGAGTGGTTTGGACTCCACTGGTGTTAGAAGTATGCTGCCTCCCTCCTTCATGGCTTATCTCAGTGACTTGGAAGATGTTTTAAACAGTAAAAGGAAAGGGAGACTCTCTTCAGGAAATATGCTGTCTTAGCCTTGTGACCTGAGTTAGCCACTCCTTCCAGGGTGGAACTGTATCTTTTAGCACAGCAAATATTCAGTAGTTATGAACTGTGCTGAAGATGACTGGCATCTGACCCAGGGCCTAGAATATCTTAGGTGCTCCATAAAGAAAGCCTGCATTTATTAAGTACCTGCTATGTGGCAGTCAGGCAGCTAAGTGGTGCAGTGGATAGAGTGCTGGGCCTGGAGTTAGGAAGAACTGAATTCAAATCCAGCCTCAGATACTTGTTAGCTGTGTGACCCTGGGCAAGTCACTTAACCCTGTGTGCCTCAGTTTCCTTATCTGTAAAATGAGCTGGAGGAGGGAATGGCACACCAGTCCAGTATCTTTGCCAAGAAAACTCCAAGTGGGGTCACCAAGAGTTAGACGCGACTAAAGCAACTGAGCAAAAACAACGTTTAGCCAGACACTGGGCTAAATACCGGGCATACAAATACCAGCAAGCCAGACTGTCCCTGCCCTCAAGGAGTCTACATTATAATGGGGCTAGACAACACATGAACAGGGAGCTAGAAAGAGTCTTGTACAAGTACAAAGGTCTTGACGTGACCTTAGCAAGATAAGCTGAAAGCTGGCCTATGACTAATTGAGTGATTATGGAGAGGTAGTATAGAACAGTGAAAATACAAACGCAAAGGACAGTGAATGTGGAGAGCGTCTAGAGTGGGTTGTGAACCCCAGTCCTGTTATTTACTAATTTGTGGGACACTTCCCCTCTTTGCATTTAGGATGAAGAGGCTTAAGCTGCTCAACATTCCTTTCCTTGACATTCAAGAACAGGGATGTTCAAGGAGGCTTGGATGTTTTCTGAGGCCTGCTCTAGCCGTAGAGTTTGATGAAATAGAACTTAATATCCACAATTACTAATCTCTATTGCTTCCCTTTCCTTGAGATGCAGCAAGGTATGGTAGAATGAGTACTCAATTGGGAATGAGTAGGCAAAGGTTCAAATCCCATTTCTGTCCCTTACTACCTGGCTTTAACCTCTCTGTGACTCAGTTTCTTTACCTGGACTAAATGACCTCCGAGGTTCAGTTCCAGATCTAAGTCTGTGATCTTCTGATTCTGCTTCCCAGGAGGGAAATGGGACCTATGGTACCTCGGATTTTTACAAGGCCGTAGTTAGAATACAATGTACTGCTCAACTTGTCTGCCCTCTAAAGGACATGGGAATCCTTGTGGGGTATAAAGGAGGAGTGTTTTTCAGATTTGTTCTCTTTGGACTGCCTGGTCCTCTCACACCCTAGAAGAAAGCTTTTGTTGTCTGCCTCTGTGACAACACCCCCTATGTTTACATGCCTGCTACGCTTTCCTTTTCAGATCCTCCTGAAGAGCCCGTGTGCTCCTGCCGGAGGAAGAGTTTCATCAGCAGTGTTTGTTGTGAATGGAGCTTCCAGAGAAAACCGCCCCCACAGACTAAGGCCGTCTTGTTAGTGAGACAGCTGTAAGTGTCTTGGGAGATGATTTCATTTTAAAATCAGGTCATCCTTGGGAAGGGAGAAGAGGGTCTTTAGAAGTCATGACACTGGAGTCAAGAGAACCTGAATTCAAATCCGGCCTCAGCTATATAATACTTACCAGCTGTGTGACTCTGGGCAAGTCACTTAACCCCGAATGCCCTCACTAAAAAAAAAAAAGTACAAACATCTGTGGATTTATTGGGGCAACTAGGTGGCACAGTGGATAGAGCATCAGCCCTGAAGTCAGGAGGACCTAAGTTTAAATTCGGCTTCAGACCAAACATTTGACACTTACTAGCTGTGTGACCCTGGGTAAGTCACTTAACCCCAATTGCCTTAAAAAAAAAAAGAAAGAAAAGAAAAAGAAATCATGACACATGAGGTACTGGGTGCTGAGAAAATAAAGGAAATATTTGCTGGATTGAGCCACAGGCAAGTACAAGGCATGGCATGATCTGAGGAGCTCCAGGAAGGCCCCTACAAATATCTTCCCCCACACTGGCCCATGATGATGACAAATGTCAGAAGGCAGAAGTAGGAGTGACTTATAGAAATTGCACAGAGGCCAAATTTAGCTCAATCTAAGGAGGAACTTCCTGCCAGTTAGAGCTGAATGAGAAAAGAGTGGGCTGCCTCAGTGGTGAGTTCCCCATCACTGAAAGCTTCCACAGCACCTTAGATATCCATTTGTTGCAGGTGTTGTAGAAGGTACAGGTGAGATACCTTCTAACACTGAGATTCTGATTTTATGCCTGAAATCCCAGCATCCGTGAGTCATTTCTTGGGCTTGTCATTATTATTATTTATAATCAGCATTTACATAGGCTTTATGGTTTGCAAAATGCTTTATATATATTATCCCATTTGGTCCTCACAACAACTTTGGGAGATGTCCTATTAAAATGCAAATTAGCTAGGTAGGAATGACATATCAAGCCATGCTTAGTAGGTACTTACTAAATGTTTGTTCACTTGACTTGAATGAGATGAGAGAGAGAGAGAGAGAGAGAGAGAGAGAGAGAGAGAGAGAGAGAGAGAGAGAGAGAGAGAGAGAGAGAGAGACTTGTTTTTGCTGGAGAAAGAAGAGTGGGGTACACCTGGATACTCTTATAGGTCTTGTAGGTAGGGTACCACGAAGGTACAGGGCACATAGGGATGGGGACAATAAGAAGGAAAAGGGATACCAGAAGAGGAAGTGGAAGGTGCCAAAGATATACTGGGTCTGTTTCACAATCTTGGCCAGCAACCAACAGCCCTGTAGCTGAGGCCCCTTCAGTCCAAAAGTTTTCCAAACTAATCTAAAGATAAACACACATATCAGATTCAAAGCTTATTTAGCCTCCAGTGCTAAACCTTGCCCTGAGAGCTTCCCCAAAGGAGTTATTCTTTTTTTTTTTCCCCCTTTGGCTAGGCAATGGGGTTAAGTGACTTGCCCAGGGTCACACAGCTAGTTAGTATTATGTGTCTGAGGCTGGATTTGAACTCAGGTCCTCCTGAATCCAGGGCCAGTGCTCTATCCACTGAGCCACCTAGCTGTCCCCCAAAGGAGTTATTCTTATAAGCATAGTTTAGAGACTACCAGTAGTCTCTCAGAGGTCCTTTTGACAGTCCCTAGGCTCAGGGTAGAAGGATTTATTTGAAAAATTGCATGCCAAAAATCTACACATGAAGAGATGGGCCTTGCCCTATTGGAAAAAACACTAAAGACTATTCAAAGTTACTATTACTTTAAGAATCACTCCCCAGGAAAGAGATATAGACATCTCTTGACTTATCTGATTTACTAACACTGTGTTTCCTGTCTTTATTTGTAAATGGGCTATTTAGAACTTGGAGTTCAGCTTGGGTTATGGTATGCCTAGTGGGTAGAGCGCTGGGCCTAGAGTCAGGAAGCCTCATCTTCCAGAGTTCCAGATGCTTACTTGCTGTATGACTCTGAGCAAGTTACTTAATCCTGTCTGCCTCAGTTTCCTTATCTGTAAAATGAGCTAGAGAAGGAAATGACAAACCACTCCAGTATCCTCACCAAGAAAACCCCAAATGGGTTCATGGAGAGTTGGACTCGACTGAACAACAAAAAGGCCCGGTGTGATAAGATTACCAGGTTAAAAAGCATGCAAAAACCTGTTTAATTTGTGATGTGGCTAAAATCTTGCACATTTGCTTGCAGTAGAAAATAGTAGGAAACAATACGATGGAACATGTCCGGTACATTTTTTCTGCTAGAATGCTCTGCTTCTAGCTTCAGCAGTTCCCCGTAAGGTAGCCTTTATAAGGCTCAGCCTTGGGCTTAGGTTGATTCACCCCAAAGTATATGTGGTAGAGTGTGAGGCCTGGAGTTAGGAAGACCTGAGTTCAAATCTGCCCTCAGACACTTCAAGTCACTTCACTCTGTTTGCCTCAGTTTCCTCATTCGTAAAATGAGCTGGAGAAGGAAATGGCAAACCACTCTAGCATCTTTGCCAAGAAAACCCCAAGATGGGGTCACAAAGAGTGGGACACAACTGAAAAACAACAACTTCTGAACCCATAGCCAGGGATCAATCTCTCTGAGTTTCCACTTCCTCATCTGTAAAATGGGAATAATGTTTACAAGAAGCAGCTCACAGGGCCATTGTGAGTCTAAAATGAGATATGGTAGGTGAAATGTATTTAAACCCCAGGAGATAGCGGCTGCACTTCTGATGTCATTGGTAAAAGGATTTCCCAGAAATTCCTTCTACCAATGCAGGTTGTTACCTTCTTTGCAACTTATAGTCAGAGAGTTGCCTAGGGCATTGCCTGTTAGAGTCAGGACTTGAACCCAGGGCTTCCTGGCTCTGAGATTGGCTCTTTATATACCATACTGTTCTGCCTCTTATGTAAACCTCAGAGTGCCATAGAAATGTCAGTTATCGATCGCCAAATCAGTTCTCCAGTATAGTTCTTCCTCTAGTTGCTTTTGCTTGTGTCCAACGGAAGGGGTACAGCGGGGAGGCTAAAAATGAGACTTTTGGGGGTGTTGGTCTTATGTCTCTGGCAGACAGAAGGAAGAGACTTTCCAGAGGCCGTGTCAATACTTGCAGGGATCCCAGAAGTTCTCTTGCCACTTGAATCTTGGGGAAGATGATGACTCCCTCTACTTGGTTTTCTTGTGTGTTGACAATGGGGTGGTGAGGAAGTCCAGCAAAGCCTACCAATTCAAGGGCTTTGAAGTGCGTAAGTATGCTTCTGCCTTTCCCAGGCTGCCTCCTCTATCTGCTTAGGAGAGGTCTTAGAACCCTGGGGACAGAGTAGGTGTGAGGATGGGGCTGCTGGTCAGACCCTTGTGGTGAGCCAACCGTTCTACCTCAAGGATTGAGGTAGGGGTGTGCCGGTAACTTTTTTAACAAGTTCTCTGGGAAAAAAAATTCCCATGACATACTCTTAAGTTTAGTCTCCATCTGAGTCTTTTTTTTTCCATGTTTTTTCCCATCACTTTCTTAAGTCTAGATGGTCTATAAAACCAAAAATCAAGCTCTAATTTGTAGCATTTTGCCGATTTCCGAGGTATAATTGCTCATGCTGAAAATTTGACAGATGGGTCTAGCCCAGGGAGCCTTCACATGCACACCATTGGTTTGGAGGAGCAGGGATGAGGTTTGTTTACAGGAGGTCTGAGTACCAGTGGCATTCAGCCGCCTAGACATCCTGTTTGGATAACTATCAGCAGAGGCTGCTATTTAATGTTTATTGATTGAATAAATGAAGGTGTGAATGAATGGGGAAGGTCTGTACTAAGCACTAAACTTGTCCCTTATAGCAGGCACCCTTCTTATTCCTCTCTGCCTCTCCTCTCTCCCCATCGCCCCCCAACCTGCAGTTCAGCCAGATCCTCCAACCAATATCACAGTCACAGCCGTGAACAAAAGCCCCCATTGGCTCAATGTCACCTGGAAAGACCCGCCTTCCTGGAACTCCATTTACTACCGACTCCAATTTGAGCTGCGTTATCGAGCTGAAAAGACCAGCACTTACACAATCATCCAGGTCAGTTCAATTTCACTCCTCCCTTCATGACTTAGGGGCAGGTGGAAAGCTCCTCAAAGAGATAGTTGAGCTACCATATGGAGATATGTGAAGCAGCAATGATTTCCACAGCATGGTACTGGGTGGGTGGAGAGGGAGTACTAAGTGATTGGAATTTCCTCCAGTGATGGAGCCTGTGATTTAGTAAATAAATCCTAGGGAGTTGCCCAAGTGAATTTCCCAGGGTCACACAGTTACTGAGTATTAGCAAAGCCAAAACTAACCACTTTTACTGAGGCAGTGCAGTGTCCAGCATATTCTCAAATCAACTTCTTAAAATGTAGGGCCAGTGGGGGCCATGGGAGCAGGATTGGATCATATTGGGAAGGAAATATATATATATATATGTATATATGTATGTGTATACGCATATGTGTGTATATGTATATGTGTATATATAAATATATAAAGTCTTTGGTTATTGTTCAGCTGTTTCAGTTGTGTCTGACTCTTTGTGACCCATTTGGGATTTACTTGGCAAAGATCCTGGAATGGTTTGCCATTTCCTTCTCCAGCTCATTTTATAGATGAGGAAACTGAGGCAAACAGGGTTAAGTGATTTGCCCAGGGTCACACAGCTAGTAAGTGTCTGAGGTCAAATTTGAGCTCAGGTCTTCCTGACTCTAGGCCCAGTGTTCTATCCATGGAGTCACCTAACTTGCCCCTGGCAGAGTTAAGAGGAAAGAGATGTTTTGAAGGCTTAAAGTGCTATTGAAATGTATTATTTATCGCCAAAGAACTGCCTGATTTAGGTAAAAAGCTGGAGCTGTTACAGCTGGTTAGAAGTTGGCCCCATTAACTAATGGATGGGTAAAAGTTATAAAGATAGAGTAGACTCATGTGTGTATATGCATTGGAGTATTGTAGGTGTATGTGGTCAAAGATATTTTATGCTTTGCATTTGTGTGTATGTATAGTTGTGAATGCTCATACTTGTGTATATACACAAGTGCAAGTGTTCTAGAGATGTGTTGTATGTGCGTGCATGCACATGTGTGACCAGGTCTCTGTTTATGTGTGTGTGTGTGCATGTATAATTGTTGTGTGTGTGTCTGTGTGTGCTAATTCATCTCCTATGTCTTTGTGCCTTTCTCTTTCAGAGGAAGGACAGACACTCATTGATTATCAGTGATGCCTTGAGGGGCATGAGGCATGTTGTGCAGATTCGGGCCCGGGAGGAGTTTAATCACGGCCGATGGAGCGAATGGAGCAAGGAGATCACAGGCACCCCATGGACAGGTAGAATTGGGGAGAGGGTACATGCCTTTGTTCTCGGCTTTTTGAAAGCTCAGTGATGATGGATGACTTAAAGTAGTAGTGTCAAACTCAAAATAGAAATGGGGCCGCTACACTACACCTAAGTATTCTTACCAGTTGCATATTGACTTCTTGTTGTTGTTAAGTTGTGTCTGACTCTTTGTGATCCCATTTGGGGTTTTCTTGGCAAAGATACTAGAGTGGTTTGCCATTTCCTTCTTTAGCTCATTTTACAGATGAGGAAACTGAGGTAAACAGAGTTAAGTGACATGCCCAGGGTTGCACAGCTAGTAAGTGTCTAAGGCAGGATTTGAACTCATGAAGATGAGTCTTGCTGATTCCAATTCCACTGCTCTATCCACTAGCTACCTAGCTGCTTGCATATTGACTTAGAAAACGACATGTTAACATTGCATATGTTCTATTATATTTTTATTGATTTTGTCAAATGTTTCTCATTTACATTTTAATCTGATTCAAGCAGGGAGCTTACAGGCCAAGTATTTGGCACCTCTGATTTAAAGGACCCTGGAGCTTTAAGGTAGGAAGGGTCTTTAGAGGTCATGCACGTCAACCTCCTGTAGGACTCCCCCTCTATAATATACTCAACAGGTATACATTTGAACACTCCTAGTGACTGGGAACTTATCTCACAAGACAAGCAGCTATGTGGCCTGCTGGGTAGAATACTGGACATGAAGTCAAGAAGACCTGAGTTCAAGTCTGGCCTCAGACCCCCTTTAGCTGTATGATCCTGGGCAAGTCACTTAAACTCTGTGTTTCAGTTCCCCAACTATAAAATGGGGATAATTATACCACCTACCTCCTAGGGCTGTTGTGAGGATCAAATGAGAAACACTTTGCAAATCTTAATGTGCTATGTAAATGCTAACTATTTATTATTACTGTCACTCATTGTTGGACTTCTCTGTTACAGTTCTGTTTCATGTTAAGTCCAAGTCTGTCTCCCTCTATCTATTTGGGAAGCAGTGTAGTTTAATGGAAAGAGCGCTGGCTGTGGACTCAGATGACTTGGGTTCAAATCTTACCTCTGGCATCTACTACTCATGTGACCCTGGACACATGACTGCCCTGTGCCTCAGTTTCTCCATAAGTAAAAGGAATTGGTTCAACTAGAAGAGATTTGAGGTCCTTCCCATTGTAAATCTATGGTATACCTTCTAGAATAGCATAGAACAAATATACTCCCTCTTCCACATAACAGTCTTTCACGTATTTGAAGTTAGCAATAAGCTCCTTCCCAGCCCCACACCCTTGCCTCACATCTCGTAGTGCTCTAGGCCCTTCAAACTCAGTCTCACATAATTCTCACGTGAAGTACTTTCTAGAATCCTTGCCAACTTGGACACTCTCCCCTGGAGAGTCTTCTTTGTCAAGGTCCTTCTTAAAATACATGGCCCAGAATAGAATACCATTTAATAGATGTGGCCTGACCAGTGCCTAATTGGTAGAACCATTGCTTCCAGGGATCTGGATACCACACTGGTATCAATACACCCAAGCGCGATAGGAAGAACACTGGACTGGAAATTACAAGTCCTGGGCTTGTATCCCAACTGATTCTTATTGGTTTTCTAACTGGGGGCAGGGAGATGTCTTACTTCTCTGAGCTCTACATTTTTCATTCATAACATGGCAGTAATGACACTTGTACTCTCTACCCCTACAAAAGTGTGGTAAGAAAAGAACCTTGTTGTTGTTTTTTAATCTTTTAATTCTTACCTCAATTTTAATTTATTTACATAGTTATAAATTTAATTATCCCTTAATTCTCATCTTAATTTTTAGTGATTACACTGAGACAGTAATGACTTAACTGCAGTGGGACAAAACCCAATGATCTTTGTACTTCACTTAATGACCCATGACTACGAGGTCTAGTCTGCTCAGTACACTCTGCCCTCCCCTCCCCCCAGTTCCCTTTTATGTGTTGTCTTCCCAATTAGACTGTAAGCTTCTTGAGGGCAGTTACTGTCTTTCCTTTTGCTTATATTTGCATTCCTAACACTTACCACAGTGCCTGGCATTTAGTAAGAATCTAATAAATGCTGGTTGACTGACTGATCACCTTCCTACTCATGGCTGCTATGCTTTTCTTAATGCAGCCTTATATTTTGTTAATTTCCCTCCTACCACAACATACTGCTGACTCATATTGAGCTTACAGGCCTCTAAAACCCCCAGATCTTTTTCAGATAAATTGCAGTCTAGCTGAATAATTCAACCCCCGTTTTGCACTTGTGAAGATGATTTTTTAGACCCAATTGTAAGACTTTACATTTATTCCTACTAAATTATTTGTCATTATTCAGTGGTTTTCTGTCGTGTCCAACTCTTTGTGACCCCATTTGGGGTTTTCTTGGCAAGGATACTGGAATGGCTTTTCATTTTCTTTTCTAGCTCATTTTATAGCTAAAGAAACTGAAGAAACTTTTGTAGATGAAGAAACTGAGGCAAACAGGGGTAAATGACTTGCCCAGGGTCATACAGCTAGTAAGTGTCTGAAGCTGGATTTGAACTCAGGAAGATGAGTCTACCTGACTCCAGACCTGGCATTCTGTCCACTGCATCACCTAGCTGCCCTTATTAAATTCTTAGTTGGACCCAATGTTCTGTATATTGTAATGATTTTTGAATTCTGACTCTAACATCTAGTTTTTGCATCTCCTACAAATTTGATAAGCATGCCATTTGTACCTTTTTTCAAAGTCTTTGATAAAAATGTTCAGTAGAATGAGACCAAGGACCATCTCCTGGGTTCACTTATACTAAGGACCGCCTTCCAAATTGCCCTTCATTTCAACCCCTCAAGGAACTGCACTGGTAACAAACTGTTTTCCATCTGTTGTCTGAAGATTCCGCCTAGCTAAGTTATCCCAGGTGGGTTGCAGGAAAGTGAGTTTTTTGTGCATGCCAACTCTTAAAAGACCATTTATCTCCTAAATTGTAAAGGGATTGTGATCCATGTCTGTGGAAGGAATACCCACACAAATGAAAAGCAGTCTGTTACCAGTGTAGTATTTGAAGCATTTCTAGCTTGGTAGGACCAGTCAGAGCTTGCATTCTGCTGATACAGCCTTCCAAAACCCAGGGTCACATATGTTGAACCACTGAACCATTAATAACTACCTCTTCAGTCCAGCCATTTATCCAGTTCTGAATCTGCAGAATTGTCTCATCTCCTAGGCCACATCTCCCCACTTTCCCATAAGAATAGCATGAGAGATTATGTAAAACCTTTTTTCCCTAGAAGCCATATAAATTATATCTCCAGTAGTCTCCTGATCTAGAAGTTTCGTAACTCAATCCAAAAAAGAAAAAAAGAAATGAGATGATTTTTTTCAGCATGACCTATAGTGATGAAGCCATGTTGGCTCTCTGTGGTCATTGCTTCCTTTTCTAGTTACTTGTTAACTATCCCTTTAATGCTCTGTTATAGAATTTTGCCAGGAATTGAAGTCAAACAATCTCATGGGATGATAGTTTGCAAACTCTTGTGTGTGTGTGTGTGTGTGTGTGTGTGTGTGTCTGTGTAAGACTGGGACAACATATTTCTCCTTCTCCAATTTTATAGCACCTCACTTATGTTTTTATAGTCTTTCCAAGATTAACTCAGTAATCACGATAGGCTGGACTATACAGATCATCTAGACCTGGTAACTGGACCTCCTCAAAGGCAGCTAGGTGTACTCCTCTCATCTCCCTACCTGTCTTTGTGTTCAAATCCACATTAGCCATTTTTATTCAGGCCCCAGATCGTTTTCTTTGGCAGAAAAAACAGAAGCAAAGTTAAGAATTAAGCAGGTCAATGTTCTTTCCCTTGTCAGTGTTATCGTCATCTCATCTGCCGCAGGAGGCAGTTTTTTCCCTTAATAATACTAGCTAACGATAACTATCATTTACATAGTACTTTTAATTTTGCAAAGATCTTTATGTATGTTATACCGTTTGATCCTCACACCAACCCTAGGAGGTAAGTGCTATTATTGTCCTCATTTTACAGATAAGGAAATTGAGGCTGAGAGGGGTTGAGTGCCTTACCTAGGATCATGCAACTAGTAACTGCTGAGCTAGGATGCAAACTTGGGTTTTCCTTACTCTGAGTCCAATACGACATCCTGTTTTTTGGCCATCTTATTTTACCCAGTGTAGCTAATAAAAGATCCTTTATTGTTGTCCTTAGCTTTTCTCTCAGACTCATGTCTTTTTTTGAGCTTGAGCCATCCTAATGCTTTTCTTACAGGCAATGTCTGGGTGAGTTGAATTTGGGGTTTACCACTTGTTGGTATCCTGTGAATGTTATCAGTTTACAGTCTGTCCCCTTAAAAATTTTTTTTCTTAAAATTTTTCCTTTATGATTACTTGATATGTAGCAATCAGACTTTTTAAAATTAGTTTTTGGGAAGCCTGAGAGTTGTTCCATTTTTTCTTCATGCCCTGCCCTCCACATCTATCTTTTTTGCCTGCATAGATTCCACATTTTTTCCAGTTGTGTCATTTCCTGGGCTTGTTGTTTTGGCTTTAGCTGTTGTTTTCACCATTTTTCTCTCCAGCAAAATAATTATGTTATTTGTTGAGTCTGTTGTTTTGTTTATTTTCTTCCCTTGGATATCTCCAAACAGAGGAATTTTATTATCATCTTGTCCAGAATTAGGCCCTTTCAATTAAGCCCTTTGTTTCTTTATTTCACTTCTTGATATTTTTTGCTAATTCCACTTCTTCCTGTATTCCTTCAATGTGTCCATTCTTCATTTTATTGTGTTCTTGGAAATTTCTAATTTCATTCCTTGTGCTTCTGTTGCCTGTGTTTGAATATTTTTCCCTTCAATTTCTGCTTCTTCTCCTGGTCTATATCTCTTCCTTTGCTGTTTTTTGTTCTTTTTTTTTTTGGAGGAAATTGGGGTTAAGTGCTTGTCCAGGGTCACATAGCTAGTAAGTATCTGAGGCTGAATTTGAATGCA